CTTTCAAGGGCGACTCTGCAGGCCACAGGACCTCTGCAGTGTGTCCTGTTTGCTCGTGAATGAGTGGGACAGCCTAAATATAGCCTATTTCTATCCTCGACACAGTGCCCATTGCCTCAGCAAGATAGCCAAACATGGATAGGGCAGGGTGTAATGGGATCTCGTGTTTCCCACCGGTGATTGACAACGACAGCAGGTGCTCCTGGGTGCCTTCTCAGAGCTCCCTCAGACAGATCCACGTACAGTTTCCCTGACAGCGGCTGTATCCTGTTTTTGAATAAAACAGGAGGGCTGCTTACGTGTGAGTGGGTCAATAGTTTGATTGTTAACATATTGAATTAAACACCCAGCTTTGCAGGAAGTGAGTTTGGGCTTTATATGCAGGAAAATTGTGTTTTTCCTTCATGTAAAAAAATTGGTCCTCAGAGAGGTTTAGATCTTCCACTAAAGAAAAATCACCAGATTTAAAAAATAAATAAATAAATAAATTCTGTGAGCAGGTTTTAGTTTACCCAGGCTTCTGTTTTTGCTTAACAAACAGCCATGATTATTGGGAAATTGCGTATAAGTCAACACAAGTATTTTGTCTGCTCATGCTAAATTGTGTAGACAAAAAAATTTGCTTAATTATGGGAAGCCAAAACGTTTTATTAAAATATATACGTGACAATTAAATGTAAATGTAAGTGACGAATGTTTATAGTTTTAAATTATGTGGGAAGAGTGAATAAGACAAAAACATTTCAATGGGGAAATTATACATGCCAAAAAAAACTATGAAGAGTTAAAAAATATATAAATGCGGTGAAAGAATTGAAATTAAAACATTTTTGGGTGTCTACTTTGTATGTGGTCTTTGTGCTGACAGTGTGAGTTCATTGAGTTCATAATGTCTGATCTTAGTGTCCTTCAGTAATTCATCCAAATGACTACATTATATATCATAAACAAAACATTGATTAATCACATTAATTATTGTAAAACAGTGCAACATTTGTGCTGTTCAAGCTTAAGATGGTCCACATTTGCATATAAATAGAAATACACCTTTTTGATGTTACTATATTGCAGCATTGTATTGTATTGTACTGTGACACCATAATGATCCAGCAGGTAGGGAGTGAACTGGAAATCAAGTACTGTGCATAAGTCTTGAGTCACATGTTATTTCTTTACATGTTGGTTACAAGACTTAGTAATTCTTAAAGTGGTTTTGAGCAGTAGTTGGTTAATGAAGGTCTTACAAAGTTTTTGTTTGGACATTTGCTGCTTTTTTTTACTTATTTTCAGTCCAGTACTTGTACCTGACCATTTTGTCGAAGTATTCAGCCCTGAACTATGAATCAGGCAAGCATAAAAAAAGTCCCCTAACCAATGGATGAACACATAACAGCTTAGAACAAATTTTAAATTGCATCGTTACACGCATTATTACAAGCAACCTGTTGGAAGAACACATCATTTTCCACATTTC